TTAGCGAGAGGGAAAGATTTTGAAGTATTTGGAAAAAATGGGGGAAGTGTCGCGATTCAAACGGGCAAGGTGATTGGAAGAGAGAAGAGGTGCAAGGATCGGGAGACAGGAGGAGGAAGGGTATAAGAGAAGGAGGACACAGACACAAAAAGAAAGGCATACGGGGGTGAGTGTGCCCGAGTTCAGACGTCTGGATCAACGAATCGAAGTTGCGCCTGCGTCCGAACGCGGGCCAGAGAGCACGAGAGGACGGAGGAGGAGCACGAGGGCTCTCGGGTCGGGATACGAGCCCGAGTCGAGACGTGGGGAGCTTTACGAGGAACAACCCTAAGCGGAGGCAAGCTCGATCCTAAAGTCTCGCTGGAGTCCGAGTGAGGGGGAGGGCAAAACGCGTGCGCAGGGGGCCGCGGCGAGTCGGTGGCGAAGTCATGGCGATCAGGAGTGCGTGGCTATCGACGTGCTGGGAGTACACGGAAAGGGAGCGCCAATACGAGCCTCGAAGGGCTGCGACATAGCTAGCATTCGCACCAAAGAGTATCGTTGGGCTAGCGTCGCGAACCGCTCCGGAGGTGGCGCCATCACCTCGCGCTCGCACGTGGGGCTTGCGGGGGACCAGCAGCGGGAGTCACTGGGAAGCCATATGCTGCGCAGAAAGCGTCAAGAGAGAGGTGGTCGCTGCGAGCTGCGGCAAATCGGAACTCAGTGGTCAGAGCGAGCTGACGGGAGAGGGAGTTCCCAAAGATGTCTCGGAAGAAGCCGCGGGGAGGCGCTTAGGGGAAGTCGGGCCTGGGAGCAGAACAGCGTGGCACCCCCGGGCGACACAGGCACTAACCACGATGGACTCTGAAAGACATCGCGAGGGTGCGCGAGTGACAGGGACTCGGAATATCTCCGCTCCCTGCTAGGGCCGCGCCGGGACATTTGCCTCCTCGGAGAGAGAACGAGAGAGAGAGAGAGAGAGAGAGAGAGAGAGAGAGAGAGAGAGAGAGAGAGAGAGAGAGAGAGAGAGAGAGAGAGAGAGAGAACAAGAGAGTGAGAGAGAGGGATAGAGAGAACAGAGAGAGAGAGCGAGGGAAGGAGAGGCAAAAGGGGGGAGAGAATCTGGTCTAGGTCGAGGGGGAGGGCGGAACTTGAAGAACGAGCACGGAGCGTAAAGAACTTCTTTTTAGGTCGTGACTCCGAATTCGCAGCGGGTCGGGAACGGCGAGGAACTGGGGCTGTCTCTTATACACATCTAGATGTGTATAAGAGACAGGTCGAGGGGGAGGGCGGAAGAACGACGGAGCGTAAAGAACTTCTTTTTAGGTCGTGACTCCGAATTCGCAGCGGGTCGGGAACGGCGAGGAACTGAGGGGGATCCCTCATCGTCAGTAAAAAAGAGGGGGGGGGGGGGGGGGGCTGTCGGGTCGCTCAGTGTCATACCCCCGTTCACCGTTCACGAGGTCTGTGAACGGAGCCGGTCATAGCGTTCACGACACGGGAGTTCATGGAGTTCACGGAGAGCGGTTTTTTTTTTTTTTTTTTTTTTTTGGCTGGGGGGGTATGTTTTTTTTGTTATAGGAGGGTGGGGGACATCGAAGGGTAACTCCGTATAATTTTTTCAAAAACAATTTTTCACGAAAAATATATATTTTTAATTAAAAATAAAAATAATAAAATTCAACCAGCCAAAATAAGCATTTTCTTTTGCTATTTTCTAGGTCATTTCGATTATTTTTTTTTTCAATGTCACCACGCTGTGGGGCTTGAGGCGAATTGACCTGGGGGAAAAAAAAAAAAAAAAAAAAAACACCACTCTTTAGCGGTCGGCCCGTTCACCGTGAATAGCCAATCACCAAAAAAACACCAAATGAACGGCCGGTCACGTTCACGGGTCCGGCACTGGGGTCGCTAAACCTTTTTCACCTCGGCAGTAGCGTCGGACTTGAAGATTCCTCTTTCCTCTTTTTGCCACGCCGAGCTTGTAACCTACATGGAACAGTGATGGAAGCAAGAGGCTCTCCTCGCTCCTCAAACCGGGACTACTCTCCAGAGAACCATATCCACTAGTTGACCTTTCTTTGCTCTGAGAGAAGGAGAGGGAAAGGGATACGAGAGAGAGAGAGAGAGAGGAAGTGAACAGAAAAAAAAAAAGGGGGGCACTCGCTTTGAGAAACGTTTCTCCTTCCTTTCCTGTGTACCCAGTCGAGACTTCGCGCTCAGCGCCTTTTATTCAGGGGCCTACTCTGACCTACTTTCGGTGACTTTTTTTTTTTTTTGCTCGTGGTCACGTACTTCGTGCATTCAATCTTTTTTAAGGATTGAATGCACGAAGTACTTAGTATTATTTCCTTGTGTGTCCGGTCGTGGTTTCGTGCTTCGTGCGTTCAATTTTTTTTTTGCGGATTAAACTGAAGAACTTTTTTCTCAGTCTTATTTCCTTGTGTGACCGGTCATGGTTTCGTACTTCGTGCATTCAATCCTTTTTACGGATTAAACTGAAGGGCTCTTTTCTCAGTATTATTCCCTTGTGTGTCCGGTCGTGGTTTCGTACTTCGTGCATTCAATCTTGTCTACGCGGATTGAATTGAAAAGCTTGCGTGCCCGGTCGTTGTTACACACTTCGTACATTCAACTTTCTTTCTGCGGCTCAAACCGAAAGGTTCTTTTCTCAGTGTTAATTTCTTACGTGCCCAACGGGGGCGCCGTACGTCTCGCATTCAAACTTCAGTGTGCGCGGTCGAGGCCTTGCGCTGCGAACGCTCAAATCTGTAAAACCGTAAAGGCCGCCAGGTGTGAAAAGGGGGGGGTTCGGAGGATCGGGGAGGGTGCCGAACCCGCTCGGCGAAGGGGAGACCCGAACGGTCCGAGTTCACAAGCCTGTGGGAAATCTTGGGTAATAGGTACGAAGTTTGCTTGAGAGCACGGAGAATGTCTCAACGAGGTGCAGAAAAGCTCGACGGGCCGCCGATCCCGTCAAAGCCCGCGCCGCAGCGGGAAAAAGAGTCGCCACGGGACCCGGGGGAAGATTCGAGAGCACCGCCGTTAGGGGGCGAGGTCAGGGTTGAGACGGGCGGGTCGAGCCGGGTTCCGAGCGGAGCATCGTGGGTCACTCGAGGGACGAGCGAGGGTTCGGCCTCGATAACTGTTAAAGCAAGCGCCCGCACCCGACCTCGAGGAAACCCCAAAATCGGTCGACAAGGTGGTGCCGTTGTCGGGAATGGGCTTTCTCCCACGGCCTCGGCCGGCTCAGGAACTGCAGGGTGAGGGAGAACGGGCATGACAAGTGGCAGAGGTTTTTTTTTTTTCTGAGTTTCGGCATCAACTTCTTGGTTTTTTTTTTCGGCATAGAGTTCTTCTTTTTGGGCAACCAGTTTCTTACCGGCATCAATTTCTTTGGGGTCTATCGGCGTCGACATTTCCTTTTCAACATCATTTTTTTCGCAACTTCCTTCGGCTGCGACTTTCTTCGGGTCCGCGCGGCGATTCACAACGACTTTTCCTTTGATGGCATTTGGTTTCTTGAGCAGCATTGGGGTGAGGGTTCTATTGGGGGCCTTGTTTCGTTGTGGGAAGTGGGTGCTGGGCTTGTTTGGGTGCAAGGGACTTGGGGGTGTCGAGAACTCTCGATTTTTGCAGGTCCGCTCTGGCCCCGCTTGCGACTTCGGCCCTTGCTGCTCCAAGATAATTCAGGTCAGTCTTTGCTGGGGAATGTGACATTTTTTAGTGTGTTTATTTCTAAAATCCGTTAATTAAGAGGGTGAAACAGTTTGCTTGTAAGGGTTTGAATGAGGGTAAAAGACAACTAAAGGGGGGAAAGAAGAGCCGTAAGGGAAAATAGTGTGGTAGGGTCTGCACACAGGGGGGACCAAGTGGACACAAGGGGGAAAGAGGAAAGGGGGGTCCAAGAGGGTCCAACAGCATTTCGAATTTGGGATCCGAGGGGGTTGCCGCATATCCTCGGCCCACACGGGTTGTTGAGGGCACCCACATGGGGTATATCTTCCGCACGGGGAAGGGTTTCGTGAGAGGGGTTTGAATTCTCGGTTCTCGACCCACGCGGGTTGAGGGCGGGGCCCGCTCGAGACACGCCTCCCGCAAGGGAGCGGAGTTCTCAAGCGGGGGGCGTTCGGGACTTGGGGGTGAGGAGAGTGGTGCTTCGGGATCCGRGACAAGGGGGCGAGGAAACCTCAACCGCCATTGTKAACGAGGGGGATAGGGGGTTACCTTGGGAAGAGCGACGAGAGATACGTGGGGTGCCTTGGACGAGGGATCGGAGGACGGGTCTTGGGTGGACCGRTGCCTTGCCGATTTCTCGGACTCGGACCTAGGGGATTATTGGGACTACGAGAACGAATATTGAAGGATTCAAGGACCACAAGGTACGTGTATGTGACTGCTTAGCCTGAGAGACTCTTCCTAACACTCTGTTTCCCCACCCCCTTTTCTTTGAATACCCCAATTAAATTATTTGATTCCAAGCGAGAAAAGACTCAGCCGGTGGCGAAAAGGAAGAAGGGAACGAAGTGGGAAGGGTTCACGATGCGAGAAGGAGAATGGGAGGGAGTAGACAGGCTARTGATCACTGATCGATAGGCGGATAAAGTCCTGGGACCTGGGTAATTCCATGCTCGAGGTGGGCCGAGTAGAGGCGTGGTTCCGGATAGGCTAATTTAGGACTAGGGGTCGGTTCAGTGGGGGACATAGGGCACGGGTGTGTGACTGCGGTCCGACTCCGGAGAGGGGGTTGCCACCCTTCTTCGGGGATAACCTGTGTTCGCAGCTAGTCCTTATACCTGCAAGTGGGAGGACCTCTCAGCGGGGGAGGACAGGAAGGTAGCCGAGTGAGACGACGTTCCTTCTCTGGTCCATTTGATCCTGTTGGGCTCACCGACACCTTCTTCTTGCAGGGTAGGGGTGGTCTCTCGAGTGGTCAAAAGTAAAGGTATTAAAAATATCTTTCTTTGATTAGGGTGAGTGAGCCTAGAGGCGGTCCCGGAAGGGATTAGCGTGAGTAGTTACGGTGGGATCAACGTGTGGTGTTATACCTTCCGTCTGTGGATGGGGGATTTCGACGTTGCCATCTGTGTAGAGGAGGGGCAAGATCATGGGGAGAATTCCCTCCGCGGACGAGAGGAGACGGTCGATAACTCTCGTGCGGAAAGAGGGGAACTACGAGGGTACGGGTTTAGATACTTCTACTCACTAGGGTACCAGATTTATCCTAGGGGAGGCCGACCTGCGCCGGTGATTCCGGACGCTTATCTAGACGGGTCAGACGGGTGGAGAGTGTTGGTCGCAATCGTCGAGGAGATACTGGGGCGTTTATGAGCTTAGGGGTTTTGGAGTTTGAGCCGGCGGGCATTAGCGTGGGAAGCCATGGGGGTGTAGACGTGTGGTGCTACAACTTTTACYTGTGGACCGGGGATTTCGATATAGCACTTTACGTAGAAGAAGGGACTGACCAAGGSGAAGCTTTCCTAAATAGTTGGGAAAAAGCGGTTGGCCATGCTCGTCTAGAGAGGGAGCTTTTACGACACGACGGGGTTAGATATTTCTAAACGTTGGGGTGCCGAACCTTCCGACGAGGGGAGCAACCTGCCCCTGTGATACCGGAGGCATATCTGGATGGGTCGGACGGGTGGAGAATGTYAGTAGYGATCATAGAAAGGATAGTGGAGACCCTAAGAGCCTAGGGGTATTAGGATTTGAGCCGGCATACGTYAGCGTGGGTGATTGTGRGGGGATAAACGTGTGGTGTTACAAGTTCTTCTTGTGGACTGGGGATAGGGACATCGCCCTCTATGTAGAAGAAGGGACGGATCAARGAAAAGGCTTTCTTAATAGTTGGGAGGAGGCTGTTGGCCTCGCGCAACTAGAAAAGGAACTTCTGGGGGCCTACGAGACTCCGTACTTCTATACACTAGGTTACCGGACCTTCCGACGAGGAGAGCGACCCGCCYTGATCATACCGGAGGCCTATCTCGACGGATCAGACGGTTGGAAGGCATTGGTGGGGATCATTAAGAAGGTAGTKCAAGGCCRGGAGGGGCATGGTTAGGATTGTAGAAGCAGCAGWCKACGGAAGAGTAAAAATCGAGAAGGCGGATCTTCTCAAGGAGCGAGAATGCTTTAGTGTCCCCCTGGATCATCGTACGGAGAGGTACCTAGCGGGGCGTGAGAGAGGGGTGGAACTTGAGAAAGGAGTTTTKCTTTGGGCGAGGYTCGCCRTGGGCATTTGGGAAAGACACCAGTGRACCAGAAATAGACCTAGGAACGGAGGAAAGGCCCGACGGACGGCWGTTCGTGCCGAGGGCACGGTCTATCTAAGTCAGGAGGCCTGGGTTGAGTACGTCACCCACTGGGCGTTAGGGTGGTATCGGACGGACCACTGGGAAGTATKAGTGGSGTCTATCCTGAGGCGGATCTTCGAAGAGGTGCCCCTTCGGCATAGYCTGCCGTTCCGCTTGCGAGTGACTTGCGCTCGGGACGAGGAATACCCTCGTGCCATGGGTTGCGTCCAGGCTATATTTCCTCCTTACGTCTTCAKGAGGGTGTGTGGAGAGGGGACCRMGAATGAAAAAGTCGTGAGGTCTATAAGAAGGGAGAGAAGGAGGGGCATGTCCTTTCGTTCGCTCCATTGGTTCTATTCCTATTGTGTGGACAACCCGGTGTCGTATGGAGTTAGGACCGACCGGATCCGAGWGAGGATATCTCTAGAGTCGGAGCGGGACCGCGAGGGCGGGAGAGACTACCGTTACCAAAGGGTATTCGGAGTCCTCCAAAAGGTAGGTTAGAATGAATGRTTTTATTTGACAGAAGCATCTGTAGGTTTAGAGAGTCCCCTTTAGACGAGCGAGGGGTGTGTAGCTTAGTTCCAAGCAACGGGGGAATCCCCGATTGGASAAGGTTAGAAGGAGGGGAGATTACGGYCGGAGGAAATTAYGTGTGGGTAGAGTCGGAAGAGGCGGAAGGAAGAGCAGYTGAGGTGCATCTCAAAGTCACCGCAATAATCTTCGTCAAGCCGGGRGCTTGGTYGAAGGTTATAGTACMCCTGGTCTTGGGCYAAGGGGGTGGGCTGGACTTATTAATCGAAGAGGCTAGAGCAGTCAGAAGGAGGTGGATAGATAGGATCCGGAAGGAGTTTGGGTTTGTGGCGATAGAGGCGGAGAGGTTCGCTAYGGCAGGCGAACTCCCAAGGGCGAGTTCCCTGTGACCGCGTGGATCCCGAACTTTGTGTTCTCAGGCGCTAACGAGGGAAGAGTTGTGAAACTCCTGGAAAGGGGAAGGAGTTTAGGATTACCTTTTGGGGCCCTATGGATACTATACACAAATTGTATCGATCAGGGGATCCATCCAAGAGGGAAACTCTGGGGTATTCTACGGAGGTTGGGGTCTCTGGAAAAAACCATCACCCTTTCGCTAGAAAGATACCGTGAGTGGGTTTTTAAAACGACACCATTAGATGGTGAGATTTGTGCTCAGCGAAAACGGAGTGGTAGAGGCGATAGAAGTCGGTGACGCGGGAAAAGTCTTGATCCAAGGGGACCCTCGGGTGACACCCTACTGGATGAGTGTTGAGAAAGGAGGAGTCATCAGGGAAGGCGCCTACGTGTGGGCTCGAGCTCGCAGGCTTACCTGGAAAGAAGGGGTGCAAAGAGGAGGTCCGCCTGACCTCGGTCGTTTCTTAGAGATTCAAGCTTCAATTTTTCTCGACGAGGACACGTGGACCGAAATTTGAAGGGGTTTAGTAACCGTCCGAGAGACCCATACAGAATATCGTGAGTCCGCGAGGCTGGTAGCGAACAATCTGGTACTGGGCGATTACGAGGAGGGGACTTTCGAGTCGTGGACGCAGGTGTCCTTCGCCAAACCAGGCAATGTCCCTCGCGCGTCCGGAGTGCTCCACGCGGGCCTGCCCAAATTCCTGATACGATCATTCTTACGAGACCCGAAAGAGAGAGTGGTGGCTGTACTCCGAGCCGCTCAGGAATCCGGAGTGTGGACGAGAGGTCTGTTCTGGCTCTACACGCGGTGTGTGAACGTTGGGGTTCCCCCTAGGGGAGAACTACCCCCTATGTTCGAGAGGTTGGGAGAGTTTGAGGGGATTCGAGCTCACGTCGCTGACGTCCCGTACGCCCGCCTCTTCGGGGAAGAGCAAGTGGTTAACCGGCGAGGATACGAAGCTCGATGATAAGAGGGGTTTCCGGTACTCTTTGGGCCTCAATAGAGCCTGTGAGAGGGGAAGGGGAAGTTGTCCACGTCTCGTTGCCCAAGGAAAGTCAAAGGAATCTGACGAGGGCCATTCAAAGGGAAGTAGCCGAGATCCGCCGAGGGAAAGCATTCGTTCGGTTGACAGTGCGCACCGGAGAGGAGTTGGTGATCGGAGAGGCCAAGGTGTTCCTTTCTAAGGAGGGTCTCCTCGAGGTGGTCCGCAGTTTGAAGTTGGGGGAGGATTCGCTCTTGGACGCGCGAGCGGTGCGGGACYGCCTAGAGGGTCTTGTAGAGGAAGTAAACCCCCAAGAAAGGTACCGAAGGATATACCAGGTGACTTATGCGGGTTGGAAAGAGGTGCCCTTGCTTTTCGACGGTGACCCCGTCAGGGTTCATYGTTTTATCTTTGAGCGAGTTTACCCMTCGGAAACGATCAGGAAGGCGGTAGAACGTAGGATCTYGATCCTGAACAAATTTCKGTTCACAAGGGCGGACCTGCACTCCCTACTAACGTGGTGTTTGCAAAGTCCGTACGAGAATAGTTGGTCGTCGTTAGAGAACCTAGGCTWTTCCTTCGAASGYTGGGGCCAACGCTTGAGGACATCGACCATCTCTTGGCGGTACTTGGGGAAGATCTGCGAGACGGGGTTGGAAGGATTAGACCCCTCGGATCTCATACGGATAGCTATAGCATGCCGAYGAAGGAATTTGAGGCAYGAGTGAGCCCGACACCAGTGAATTGGTGGGTCTGGAGAGGGTTAGGGAGGARCTATATAGAATCTTGACCCTTTGTTGGGAAGAGGAAAGAAGGGCGAGGTCGGGGTCCTTGCGAAAGATCAAGTTATTAGAGACGGCCACGATAAAGATACTTGACGATTTAAAGGAGGAACTACTCTCAGGGGGAGGAGAGGCATGAGAGCTACCTACACCTCAAACTCTATAATTTGGGAGTTGGAGACAAGGGACGAYSGCCCCRAGGTTGAGGTAGGAGGGGCAGACCTTGGGCCWGGCCTTGGGGAGGACCGGGTGGCTCGAGCYGAGAAGAGTTTCCTCGCTGAAGTTCGGCGACTRGCCTTGTGGAAAAGGAGGTCCTGGACCACCTTAGCTAGGTTTTCAATCTTTATTAGGGAGGCGAGAGGAGTGCGGTTCTCTAGAACGTGGAGGGAACCTTTATCGGAGGTCGAGAGAAGGTTTGAGGATGACTCTAGGTGGCTTGGAAACCCACTCGAAGCCAGGGTGCACCTAGTGGAGGCGCGTTTCTGGGACAGGGCGGGAGAGTACGAGCAAGCCTTGAATCGAACGATACTCGAGCAAGGCGAGGGCTGTCGAGAGAGGTGTGAGGATTCACTGGTCGAGGTGGCGGAGAGACTAGCTATGGTAAGGTGAGCCGGCCAATGATTAGATACGACAGGGGAAACCCTGTCGGGGCCTTGGAAAGGGCTYGGAAGTCGGGTTCTAGGTATGGAGTGACCCTCCCCAGGGTTGAGGAAGTAGGGGAAGTCACTACGGAATTCTTCGAAATATACGGGCAGGAAACACTAGTCCRTTTCTCGACAGTCTCAAGAGAAGATACCCACACTCAAAGGGCTGAGATCTTCTTGTCTCACGAYGATAGACAGTTCTTTGCTACCGAGTTKGCGGAAGGAAAGGACCCGCTGGGTATTGCGGAGAGAACCCAAGACCGACTTAGAAGGTTGAGAGGGGGAGTAASGRRGAGGCGTGAGACAGAGAAGGTTGAATACCGAGGACGATTAGAAGTCCCGCGGGCAGCCCACGGCCAGACTTGGGAAGTCCCTGYCGGGGTCTACCGTTTGCTCTACCCCGACCACGCCACAGTAAGGAAAGTTCAAATCAGGGGACAGATAATCGAAAAATTCCCCCTAGGTGAAGCGAAAGGGCACGAGTTATTCACCCTGTGTTGGGAGTCCCTAGAGCTTACRCAYTTTGAGTGGTGGGCTTTGGTCGGCGAATTCATCAAGCTCCTTTTCTCGGGACAGGTCAGAGAAGTACATARAGGCCTGATTAGGCGGTGCTCGCAGGAGGGGATTAGGGGTGTCTCAGATCAGGAGATTGCCAACCTTGCGTTAGCAGCTCACGAAGAGAAAAAAGTGTGAGACTCTTGGTGRACTGTGACTAGTGAGGAGTCTGAAGGAGGTAGTGAGGCACAAGGATCGAGTGAAGGGGGAAGAGGCTCGGAGGAGAGTAGCGGGGMAGAAGGYYGAGGAAGTGACTCTAGCGAAGAGAGCGACTGAGAACAGGTGCATGGAAAGTGTGGTTGAGCACGGGGTCGCCCAATCACCTAAGACCGCTGCTATGGGGCGAACCAAGGAGGATACCGAATTGGGGGCGAGATTGAGCAAGTCAGCCGAAGGAGTGACCRAAGGGGTAGGAASTATGGGTAGGGCCTTAAGGAACCTGGARGAACCCCTCGGAGAAAAAGCTACGGAACCTYGTGCGGGTTCGGATGAGCGTTTGCACCGAGAGATGGAACCGCGTGTACCTGWGAGAGAAAGGGTGGCAGAAGCCACGAGGGGCTTCCCATTCGAAACCCGATGGGCGGGACACGTGGACACGGAGGAAAGAGTCGGCGAGGGGCAGGAGTGCCCTCGTGATAGAGTTGGATACTGGGCACCAAGGAGAAGCGAAAAAGGTGGCCCAAGGAGGAGGGAACTTGGGGAAAAAGGACCGGTCGAAATTGGAGGAGGACCGCGAAGATGGGCCGACAGGCAGACCTGTTCCGCGTGGATGCAAGACGAGGCAGTAGGAAGGAATATGGGTGGATTCAGAGATATCTGGAGAGGGGCGAGGGGCCAGGAGACCATGCACTGGAAGCGCGAGGACCCGGGTTATAGAGGTCGTCGTGGGGAGGAATTCTGGGGCCCTCCGAGAGCTCGACCGCGGATGGAGGATTTGGACCCTTCCTGGTACAAACCCTACGATCCGACGACAGATGGACCAGCGGAAGGCCCTTATTTCCGTCGTTATGACGACCGACGAGTTCCCTACTACGGTGTGAACCTGGGACTAGAGTCGCTCTACTTCAATGGAAGGGACGTGACAAGGTTCGTGGAGAAGTGGGAGAGTTACGCCTACCGGAAGAAGTTCTTTGAGAAAGAGTGGATCAACCACTTGATACAACATTCGGACCCCGAATTGGACCAGGCCATTAGGGCCGTATACCCGTCTGATGGAAGGTGGAAGACCTTTAAGAACAGCCTATTGAGGATCTTTGCATGCGATGACATAATCCTCACGATAGAAGGGTTGCGTCGGGTGACGAGAGGGGAGCAAGAGAGCATGGTGGCCTTTACTCGAAGGTTCAAACGTTTATCGCAGGCTTTGGTAGATAGAGGGATGCTCTCGGAAGTAAACAGGTGCGTAATGTTCATGTTGCACCTGCCTGAGGAGAAGAGGAAGGAGGTCCTCGAGAAGGCCCCTAGGGACTCCGCGAATTTCGAAAGAGTTGTCGAGATAGTCTTTACGGGAGGAGGAATAGACATACGAGAATATATGAAGGAGAGTCTGGACATGGTATTCCGGAGTATGCTCAGCCAAAGGCGCGACGGTCCCCGCGGGTACGAGAGGCAGCCTCCTGGACCTCTCGGTCAACGCTGGGGATGAGGACCCCCGGGTTGGCGGAGCGAGCCCGGTAACCAAGGGAACTGGAAGGGCGACCGAGAGACTGTAGGGAATCGGGCCTCGGAATGGGGGAATTCCCGTTGGAAGGATGGAAGGGACAGAAGATGGGGAGAGTTTCCCCAACCTAGGAATACAGGGGCTCGTCCTGAGGTGAGTCAGGCTAGGACATTGCAGCCTCCCGGCCCTTCCGCTACCATGGGAGCGGCATCTCCAGTAGCCCCTCGCCCAAACAATCCGCCGGCTCGAAGCGGGTGTGTCTACTGCAATGAAGACGGTCACATCAAGAGGGAGTGCCCTTACCTTACGGAAGCCTTGAGGTTGGGGGTGGTGAAATTGAATGAGAAYAAGTGGGTCATGTGGGGGGATGATGGAGAAGCAGTCTCCTTTTACCCCTTGATGAAGGTAAATATGGACAAAAGGATAGCCCTTCAAGAGGCGAGATTGGGGAAGAAGCCTGAGGTTGGGGGAATCTTCAACTCATCCCGCGTCCAAATCACAGAGGCGYCGGGATGCGTRTCCATAAGGGAGCCCCAGGTGTCGAGCATTAAGTTCGTTGAGACCAAGCCCGAAAAAGAAGGGCCTTGCCTAAGAGTRAGGACCCAAGTTGGGGCCGGGCCATCTAAGAGCAAGGAGCTCGCTACCRAAGGGSGAAAAAASAGMGGTGACGAYGACCAACCGATGGTCGACGCCAAAGTCGCRGAAGAGAGGAAGGGAGAAGAGYCCACGTCGCCTAAATCACCTAGGAAGAAAGGGTCAAAGAAGTTCGAGATGAAATRCACCTTAGACGAGATAGACACGGTAACCCCCTTGCGAAGGACTCTRATGCAGCCTATGCAATGCACGCTCYTTGAGTATTTAGCGGCTAGCAAGAGCGCTAGAGAATAACTCCTAAGTATCACCAAGAAGGTGAGGATTYCGCTCGCGGGAGGAGCTACAATTCCYGGGGATGGRTCCGCCAAAGAAGAGGTGCAATCGTCTCGAATAACGATGGAAGAGCTRCYGGCGAGTTTTTTTTCGGRAGAAGAATYGAAAAAGTTCTATGTGCYTRGRAGTGGTCAGCTCCAAGCCGTGGTGAGTGGGAAAAAGATGAGAGCCCTGGTGGATAATGGGTCCGAGTCCACCGTATGTAGGAACTCTATCGCAAAAGAATTAGGACTGGAGGTGGATCRAGGGGTSTCCATGTCCRTGGTCGTYGYGGACAATAARCTCCAACCGRCAGAAGGGGTGTGTCACAGCCCTTTCATTGAGGTCGCTGGGGTAGAGGCGACAGTCCCCATTTTCTCGATAAAGGAGTGTTCTTCCGAGCTGATCCTCGRGAGGACCTGGCTGAGCGTGGTCCACGCYASCACGGTCGACCTTCCGGACGGGAGTCAGACCATCTCGATCCAAAGTCYGGACRGGATCAGGGTGKTTCTSAAGACGGTAGATGCTCAGGATGAGCGCAACCGGACTAGTATTCCAARGAGGAAGGAAGCCCAGTCACGAGTGTGTCGGGTCCGGTTAGAAGAGACGCCCTTTGCTAACAAARAACCCYCGRGAGACCGGGTGGACGTCGAGGATGTTGGAGGACGAATTATAATCGATGGAGTGGGGTACGAGAAAGAGGAYGAAGAGGAGGAATTCGGTGGGTGCGTCAGGCTYTCTTTTTTGGAGGGATCCCCCTAGCCRGCGGAATTAAGAAGCATAAATCCGTGGCGGAAAAAGTGAAGCCTGMTGCGGTCAGCCGGGATAGAAYGGGGGAAACCTCGATATCGGACGAAGAGATCGCCGATATCACTAGGAAGYGGAAAAAGACCGAAGGGCAGAGAATTACTGCCGATAGACTAGCAAAGATGGAYATAAGGGATGGGAAYCTCACCGAGCAGGAGAAAGAGTATGTGGCTATGACCCTAAGGGGATGTGACAAGGCCATAGCTTTTGATGACTCGGAAAGAGGAAGGATCGACCCAAGGTACGCCAAGCCAGCTTGGATCCACACGATCCCTCACGTGCCTTGGACAAATAGGCCTCCGTGGAAGTATGCGCAAAAAGAGAAAGAGGAGATAGTGACCTTCATCAAGGAGAAAATAAGGACGTTTGTTGCGGAGCCCTGTGAAAGCGCCTACTCTAACAAGTGGTTCTTTCTGAGAAAAGGGGGGAGCAAGAAATTGAGGTGGATCCAAAATCTCCAAAAGACCAAAGCGGTCACCATAAGGGATGTAGGGTCTATACCTGAGGTTGATCTACTCGCGGAAGGATCAGAAGGTCGTTCGATTTATTCGATCTCTGATCTCTTCTCGGTTTATGACGAGATTCCGTTGGACTATAGGGATAGGCATATGATCGCAATGCACACGCCTCTAGGGTTAGTTCAAATGATGGTGGTGCCCATGGGATAGACCAACAGAGTGGCCGTATTCCAAAGGGCCATGATCGCAGTCCTTAAGGAATTCATACCGGACAAAGTCGAAGTCTTCCTTCACGACTTCCCGATCAAAGGGTCTGTCCAAAGGGATGAGACAGAGGTCTTTCCCGGCATGAGGAGGTTTGTGGTAGATCATATGGCGGATGTGAGAGAGGTCCTCACAAAATAAGAAGACGCCAACCTTACCATGAGCGGGACTAAGAGTCGCTGGGGAGTGTCGTCCATCAAGATTTTGGGGTTTATCTGCGACAAGGATGGGCGGAGGCCCGATCTCGCGAAGCTAGAGAAATTGATGACCTGTCTGTCACCGCTAAAATCGATCACGGAGGTTCGATAGTTTCTAGTGGTGGTGGGCTATTGGAGGATCTTTATACGATCCTACAGTGAAAAGGCGGAGCAACTTAGGTGGCTGCTCAGAAAGATAGAGAGTTGGGTCTGGGGAGAGGAGTAGGTTGCGGTCATGGAGAACCTTAAGGGGGCGTTCCGCGAAGGGGGGCAAGTCCTAGGCATTCCTTTCTTCGAAGACGAGGATAACTGCCCCTTTATAGTCTCTACGGACGCAGAGCCCTGTTCCGTAGGAGGGCTTCTATCGCAAAAGGATCAAGACGGGAAGGAGAGACCCCTCCGATTTGAGAGTCGAGCCTTGAATCCCGCAGAAAAAAACTATAGCCAGTTCAAGAAGGAAGTGTTGGGATATTGCGTTGCCTGAAAATCTTTCGTCACTACATCTACGGGAGGCGGTTCCTCCTAAGAGTAGATCCGACCGCAGTGACCGCCGTCCTTCAAAAAGGTTTTTCACTAACAGACCCTACTATTGCTAGGTGGATGATCCATATTAGGCTCTATGACTATAGGGTCGAAAGAATCTCCGGGGCCAAAAATCAGGTCGCAGATGGGTTGTCCCGACTCCCCATCCAGAAAGAGGACTATCCGGAGTTGGAGGAAGTGACTCTATCAATGGACAAGGACGAGGTGATCCTAGTTGCCGCTAATAGGGCGCACATGGCAACAACCGCCCGAGAGGAAGAAGTACCTAGGATGTTCCTCGCTAACCTGTACGAAGGGAAGTACCGCGATATAGGGTTGTACTTAGCAGGCAGGGTAGGAGGCACCAAGGGGATCAAGAGGGAGGCGCTGGGGTATTGCCTACGAGGGGGCCACCTCTTTAAGAGACCCACCAAGTTTGCGATTCCCAAGAGAGTGCTTTGCGATCCGGAGGAAACAAAAGCGGTCATAGAAGAGCTGCACGATGGGGTCGTTGGAGGACATAAAGGGGTAAAAAAAACCTTTGATAAAGTATGTAGGCTCTATTGTTGAGACGGGCACTACGGGGAAGTCGAAAAGTATTGTTCGACYTGTGAAGCTTGCCGAAAGAGGGTGACCGTTCGCTTCAAGGAACCCCTAGTTCCGTCGCTACCCACTCAGCCCCACTATTCCAGGCGAAAAGGTCCACATTGACTTGGTGACCATGCCTAAAGGAGTCGGCGGGCTTAGGTACTTAATCAACGCCCGCGATGACCTTACGGGTTTCGTGGAAGCGAACGCCATTAAATAGAAGACAGCCGAAGAGGTGAGTGATTTTATCCTAGAGTACATCGCTAGGTACGGATGCATTGGGAAGGTCGTCATGGATAGGGGGTCCGAATTCCTAAGTCAAAAGGTCAAGACACTGTTGGAGAGGACAGGGATTAAGGCGGCCTACACGACTGCCTATCACCCCCAAAGCAATGCCCCGGTCAAAAGAGGTCACCAAACGCTTGTGGATGCCTTAGCAAAGTGGTGCAAGGGGCGCTCGGAGCAATGGCCAAAATACTTGTGCTACGCAGTTCGGGCCGACAATATCACGGTCAAATCGAGCACAAAGTATCCTCCATATACTCTTTGGTTTGGTAGACACTGCCCTTTGCCCATAGAATTTCACGTCGACACTTGGACGAGTGTCTCGTGCAAGTCCAACATGACGAGGACTGAACTATTGGAGGCTAGGATACAACAAATATCCGAAAACCTTGACGSAGGGCTCGTCGAGGCRGGAGAAAACATCGARAAGARGAGAGTGAAGGGGAAAGAAAGGTAGGACAAAAACCTGCGGGTCCGTCAAAATCCAATAGGGACTAGTAACCTCGTCCTGATGTACGACTCGTCGCTAGAGAAAACTTGGAGCARRAAGCTAGCCAACAGATGGATGAGACCATATCGAGTCTTAAAGAGATTAGACGGAGGGGTGTACCTCCTTGCCGAATTGGACGAGACTAGGTTACGGGACCCTGTCGCGGGGGCTCGCCTCAAGCTTTTTAGATGCAGAGAGAGCCTTACAGATGAACCAAAAAGGAAAGGCAAGGAAGCGGTCGACGYGGGGGTGATCGTAACTCACGAGGAAGGAGAGACTTCGAAGCAAGGAGCCTCTTCGCGGTCACCTGAGAAGGGGTATAAGGTCCRGAAAACTCCCTTGCCAAAGACCCCTCGAAGGAAGAAACGGCCAAGGGTGGATGACAGTGGTACCGACCAACTAGGGAAACGCAGGATGAGAGAGGGAAGGCATGCCTCAAGGAAAACCTTGAGAGTCGAGCGGGAGAGAGAAGAGAGAAAGCGAAAGAGAGAGAGGCGCGAGAGAAAGATAAGGAGATGGGGACGAAAATAGAATCGCTCAAGAGAAATGGGGAGTGATGTACCATAGTTAGAGAAAACATGGAGGTACTATTGTTAAGAGAGAACGTATTGTGCCATAGTTAGGGAAAACAAGAGTCGTGGTATCAGAAGAAGGTGCTACACCATAGTTATAGGTAACATGTGTCATAGTTCCGCAGGTAGAAGACTAAGGGAGGYAGTGCCGTAATGAGGCGATGTGGTCTAGAAACCAAAAAKTCAAAGGGAAAYAAG